GGTCATTCAGCCTGGGCGTCCAGCATAGGACCAGGGATGAGCAAGAATCAGGACTAGGTGAAACCCAAATGTGAGGAAGAGTGAGAGGAACAAGATGGAAGTACGAGCTAAGAGGCCCAAAGTTGGGTCTTTTCTGTCAACATTTCTTAGCCCACCCCTCTACTGCTGCACTCTTCAATATGGTTAATAATCCACTTTACAACCTCTGACTCTGTTTTATATGTGCTTTGAAATTGTACTTTTCTTCACAGTGTTGCTTTTCTAGTTTTGGAATATTGTAAATAACTGTCTTGCTGAGACTATGCACATTAAATATACATAAGTTAATCATTTTCTGACTTTTAAATCTAAAAGACACACACACATACGTGACACTTTTGACCTGTGTCTCTGTGTTTGTGTACATGTATAAAACATGTCAGTATTCACATTTTAAATTCCCCTTGTGATTTTTAAAACATCTTGTATTATAATAAGAAAAGTTGCAGGTTTATTGCAGAAAAAACTATAGGGCATTAAATAAAAGAAATTAAAGCCATGTCTACCTGGTGATAGTAAGGAATATGTAAATGGATATATGAGAACTGAACAAAACTTCTGATATATTGAACATTTAACAAACTGAATTAGTACCTGTTGTTTTGCAGATTGGAATACCTCTTTTACACTTAAATTCCATTTTCAGAAAAATTTGATGTCACTAAACATTTCTTAAAATGTGATTTTAATGATTTGTATCTATATGCCTATTATGAACACCTTTTTTTTTTTTATTGGTTGTTCAAAACATTACAAAGCTCTTGACATATGTTTCATACATTAGATTCAAGTTGGTTATGAACTCCCATTTTTACCCCAAATACAGATTGCAGAATCTCATCTGTTACTATGAACACCTTTTTAACCAAAATCTTTTTTTCTTGCCTCTCATTTAATTTTTTAAAAAACAGAATTTAGAGGGCTCCAGATGTATCATTGCTGTTTTAAATTGTGTTACCGCTGTTGACCGGTGACGAGTTCTTGCTCCCCGATGTTGAAGAATAACACCAAAGAAGCACGCCGAGGCAAGGTCAGAGTAGAGATTAGAAATTTATTAAAGGACAGAAGAAAAGACTTCTCCCGGAGGAAGAAGGGGACCCAAAAGGTGGAATCCAGTTAGCGGGCAATGTGTTCCCCTTTTATAGGTTTGGTGATGGAATGTAGGTGGGAAGGGTTGGGACACAGGTGAGCCAAAGAAGTAATCTGGGCATTTCTGAGTCAAGTTTGCTGTTCATTAACATTTCTTTGGGATGGGCTATCTTCAAATCTGTTGGGGGATGTTCATTAACATTTCTTCCAGGTGGACTTTGGCCTAGGGCCTTTTCGGAACTTTATTAACATTCCATGAGTTGTCCTGTTTTCCCTGAGTCATTCCCAGCATGGCCTCCATTTTAGATTTCACTCGATATTAGACCCGATTTACCTAACTACACTGACTACCTAACTTTAAATCTGGCTTCAATTGCATTTCATTTATTTGTGAGTTTAAACATTGTTTCAAATTTGTGTGATTGACAGAATTTTCATAAGGCATGTCTGCCTGCCTCTCTTTTTGAATTGTAAGAGCTCTTTATATGTTAAGGACATTAGACCACATGCTTGATTTAGTGCGGATATTTCTTCCAAGATCTTCAATGTACTTTTTAATCTTGTTTGTGGATTAGAGGATGAGGTTATCTTCTGTTGCTACTATTATAAAATTTATCTCTATCTGCAAATTAAGAAAGATTGCCCTTTTCTTTAAGAGTTTGTTTAAAGTCTTAAACTCTAATTTGCCTGGAAAAATCTTAATGTATAGAATAAAGATTAACATTACAAAAATTACTTAACTGATTGTCTCACTATAGTTTATTGACTAAATCTCTTTCCCATACTTTTTTGTAAGTTCTTTTTCTTAATAGTCTTACTTTCATTCTCTTTTTAAAATTGGTTATGTAATATATTATAATATTAATTCTTTGTAAGTGGGAAGTTTCATTTGGCAATTCAGACAGAAATTTTATTATAAAAGCTGTCATACTAAAATATACACTAAATTTTCTCAGTTTACATTATGTACTTTCAAAAGTGAATGATTAATACAAATCCTTATTTTTAATCTATTATTTGCTTAATGACAGGCCTTGTAATGGTTTGGATGTAAAGTTTCCTCCAAAAGCTTCCATGTGAGACAATGCAAGAGGGTTGGGAGAAGAAATGATTGGATTATAGCCATAACCTAATTAGTGGATTAATCCCTAGTGGGATTAATTGTGTGGTGACTGGAGACAAGTGGGGAGTGGCTGAAGGAAGTGGCTCATTGGTGGCAGGGCTATAGGGTATAAATTTTGTATCTGGAGAGTTGTATCTATCTGTCTGTCTGTCTCTTTTTGCTTCTTGATCATCATGTGAGCTGCTTCCCTCTGCCACACTCTTCTGCCATGATTTTCAGCCTCACCTCTAGCCCCAAGGAATGGAGCTGGTGGTCTATGGATGGAGACCTCTTTAACTGTRAGCCCTTAAATAAACTCTTCCTTCTGTACAATTGTTCTGGTTGGATTTTTTTAGTCACAGCAGTCAAAAAGCAGACTAAAACACAAATTGGTACTGAGAAGTGGGGTTGTTACTGTGATTGTCCTGACCATGTGGTTTAAAATTTTTGGAGCTCTTTTGGAATTGGTGGAAGGAATTTTGAAAGTGCTTAGTGCAATTGTTAAAGACAAGTTGGAAATGCTTTAAGTTGTTGTAAGCGGAGCTTAATGGCTAATTCTGGTGGTAACTCAGAAGACCAGAATGCCACTAGGACTCTGGACAGTGAAGACAGAGCTCAAGAGGGTTTAGAGGAGAAGGAGGACTCTTGGAATCTGGAGTACAGGCTGTTCATATTATGCTCTGGCTGAGAAGTTGTCTGCATTTTGCCCCTATCCTAAGACTGATTTGAAAAGTGATGGATTTCTTAATCTGATGGAAGACATTTCTAGGCAGCATAGCATCCAGGAAGTGGCCTAAATATTGTTGGTGGCTTTTAGCCAAGTTTATTGTGATAATCAGGAGCAGAAAGCAGAGTAGAAAGATTTGAAAAACTTGGACTTAAAAGGTGGGAGTGAAACTGGAGTTAAGGAAATTGCAATTGTTAAAGACATTACCACCACTTAAGAAATGCTGAAGACTTTGCCCAGAGACAAAAAGAAAGAGGGCCTCAGGGCATCTCAGGAAGTTTCAAGAACCTAAGCTCAAGGGAGTAAAAGTGAAACTTCTCTGGAGAAGAGACTGGTGGGGAATCCTTATTGCACAAGGAGTCCTTGGAAATTTTTTTCAAAGTGCTCAGCCACCCAGACACTCAGGATCTCCAGGGTCCCTGGAGGTTTGGCTGTTGCTCAAGATGGTGGCAGACTTTGGTGTCAACCACGTGGTGCTGGTTCTGCAGGAATGCAGGAAGCTGGAGTTAAGGTGTCCTGGAGGCTTCCACCAAGATTTCAAAGGAAGGYCTTGAAAGCCAGGCAATGTGTGGCAGGGTCGGAATCCCTGTGGGCACTCCCTGAGAAAGATTTGAGAGGGAAGCCAAAACTGCAGTAGAAACACCCAAGATTAAGAAATGCCAATAATGTGGGACATCCTCCTAGGAAAGCTGCAAGAATTGAGCAGAGACAAGTCAAGAGAGAGGCCAACTGGGCTACAACCAAGAAGGCCACAGGGGTGGAGCTACACAAGCCCTTTGGGGAGGGCATCATGTCATGTGCTCCAGATGCGGAACACAGTACTATAGGACTTGTTCAGTCTTACTTTGGTCTCATCCTTTTTTTTCCCTATGTCTCTATTTTTGTGAATGGAAATGTTTTCTCTGTACCTCTCTGTATAGAATACTTGTAAATTGCTTTTAATTTTACAGGAGCGAGATTGCCTTGAGCTTCACAGAAGACTTTGAACTTGAACTTTGATCAATCTTGGAACTGTAGAAACTATGAGAACTCTTGTTGAATGGACAAAATGTATTTTGCATTGTGAGATGGTTGTGAGCTTTTGGGAGTAGAATGGGTAGAATGTTATGTTTTGGATGTGAGATATCCCTTAAAAGCTCACATGTGAGAAAATGCAAGGTTTGGAAGAGAAATGATTGGGTTATAACTTTAACCTAATCAATGAATTAATTCCTAATGGGATTAATTGTGTTATGCCTGGAARCAGATGGGGTGTGGCTGGAGGAAGTGGCTCATTGGTGGCAGGGCTGTGGAGTATATATTTTGTGTCTGGAGAGTGGAGTCTCCTTCTTTCTCTGCTTCTTGATCATCATGTGAGCTGCTTCCCTCTGCCATACTCTTCTGCCATGATGTTCAGCCTCACTTCTAGCCCCAAGGAATGGAGCTGGTGGTCTATGGATGGAGACCTTTGAAACTGTGAGCCCTTAAATAAGCTCTAACTCCTCTACAATTGTTCTGGTTGGATCCTTTAGTTACAGCAGTGAAAAAACTTACTAAAATAGACGCTCTTGTCAAAATAGTGTACTAATTGCTTAGGGTAGACTGTGTCTTCAAAGTTGTCTTCAGATATTTTGTTTATCTAAAAGATTCCTGAGAGGGCTGGGGTTGTAGCTTAGTGGTAGAGTATTTGCCTTGCATGCATGAGGCACTGGGATCTATCCTCAGGACCACATAAAAATAAATAAGTAGATAAAGTAAAGATATTGTGTCCATCTACAACTATATATATATATGTTTTCTGAGTATTTATTCACATACTCCAATTTTATCATGATATTATTTAAAAGGTTTATATTTATATCCATATATGGAGCCGATATTAATGAATTTATCTTAAAAAATACTTCTGCAAATTACCAACTATCATGCTAAAGCTTAATATGTTTTTTTTTTTAAAGAGAGAGTGGGAGAGATAGAGAGAGAGAACTTAATATGTTTTGATAATTTTATAAATGAATAAAGAGATAACCTTTTCCTTTTTCCTTTTTTTTTTTTTAATTTTAGATAGTCCATTTTTAATTGAAGGAAGCTGCTTCTACTGGGGAGTGGCAGGAGAMGTGAGAAAACCACATGGAAGACTCCCAGGATTTAAATGAACAATCAGTAAGTCTTAATTCAATCTCAATTTCAAATAAAAATTAAAAAAAAAAATTATTGTAAGACTATTCAAAAGCATACTTAGAAGAAATATATTGTAAGCAGTAAGGCTTTTGTTTGTTTGTTAAGTCTATTTTTTGTTTATTTTGTAATTTCCTTGCGACGCCATAAACATGTTTGGAGATGTACACTTTTTTTTGCTTAATGATGCTGTCACATTTCGAAGTCTCCCTTGATTCTCCCCTTGGAAAGCCAGTACTTGAAAGGCTACAGTGAAGTTATGCTGTGTATTTTCAATGGTCTAAATAATTGTATGCTTTTTTTCATTAGGTTTTATTCTTGATATACTAAATAGTTTTTATATTGTTGACTACCAGAAGCTTAATACTAGAAGGTATATTAGTAGTCTGCTTGTTGCTCATTTTATGAATGAAAACCATCATTCTCAAGGCCCTTCCTTATTTCATTAAGATTTATTGTAGGTTCAGGAATGTGCCAGTTTCGTGACAATCCTTTTAAGATTGATTTTCCAAAGGGGAAGATTTTGCATGGCCTTTCCTCCTGTCTCATTAGTAGCATCTTCAGGACACTAGTTCTTTAATGTGTATAACTAGAGATACTGGGAGAGTCACCATGGGGGACTGTCATCCCCAAGCTTTTCTGCATAGGGACTACTAGCAGTGTCTCAAAGAAGACGATGTGTGTTTATCAAGAGTGCTTCCTGCAGATTGATGATGAGCTCCGTCAGGCAAAAGAGGATAGTATAGTGGTGTATAATAACATGGTTCTACAAAATGTATATRGAACATTTAATTTTAAAATAGAGARCAAAGTATGTTTTGGTGCATCCCTGTTCTTCTGAACTGGTTTAATATGTTTATTAGCAGGTGTTGTATTTGAATTTTAATATGGACATGAGCATGGTCTAATTTCATTATATATTATATTGTTATTTATTTTGTATTGCATTGTTCTAGGAAAACTGTAGCAAACAATGCTATGGAACTACTACTGTGAAACGATGAAATCTGTCAAATGGTAGAGATGTTATTCTTGAACATTTCCTGTTTTAGGAAAGTAGACAGAAATGATTATTGGGAGGCAAGGGCTTCAAAGCAAGTTTTTAAAAATTTTGGTTATTGAGTTAAATATTGATTGTATGGACTCTAATAAATGGATATTGGTTATCATGATTGCTGTCTGTCTCCCCCAGGCTTCTGGGTATGTATGAGTCTTGCTAAAATCAGAGGTCTTCAAGTGTCACCACATATCTGAAGGTGTATAGTGAATGATGGAACATCATAGTTGTGATGCTTTGTAAGAGTGGAACTGTCAATCTGTACTTTGCTCGAATACACTGGGGGTCACTTAAGAGGGTCAGCTTATGTACGTGTGTGTGCGCGTGCATATTGGGTGACCGTTTGTCCCTGTTTTCCAAAGACTTGGGGGTTTCTGGAGATATGGAACTTGCAATACTAAAGTAAGAGGGGGTGATTCGGCTTGTTATTCTAGGCTGTGTACATACTAAGAAAGTTGTTTGGTTTTAAGCAATTGGGGTTAAAGAGAATATGGTTTTATGTTTGATATGAGTGTGAGGTATTACCTAAGGTTCTTCATATCACCTTTCATAAAATAATTTCCAGAACTTTCAAATCATATATTTAAAATATCTGTAGGATCCTTCCAGTGATATTTTAGGGTTGCCATTTTTTAAAGTATGTTTTTAAAAAGTTCCCACTTATGTTAACGTGAGGCCATATTTGAAAATCAACTATCTAGGGTGATTTTCCTAGCCTTTCAGCTTGACCCTACTTACTGAATTTGGATTTAGAATATATATATCATCATATTCATATATAAGTATGCAAAGTATGCTTAAAACTGTTAAATGACTTGCCCATGTTGGCATGGCTGGTAAGTGGCAGAGTTGGGACTTCACATTGGTCTTCTGACTCCAAGTCCAAAGCTCTCTCCATAACATCAACATGCCTGATCATTCTGGGGTATCTTATTGTGACATTCATCACTATAGAAATATTAAAAAAACTAGAAACTCCTTAACATTGAAATGATTCCTATTTGAATGAATTATTTAAATGACCTTAAATTTTGTGGATGCAGTGATGTCTCCAAGCTTTTCAAAATATATAATATTTATTGAGACATAAAATAAGTGGGAGAAGAATTAAAATACAATTCTTTATATTAAAAGGAAGCTAATTAGATCATAGTTATTTCAGTTTAAGCAGAATTTTTTCTCTGGGCATATATACAGCAGTATATGGTACATGAATACTCCATTTAGCATTTTATATACACCTTCTTCAATCCATACCATATCCTTGAAATGAAGTTCTAAAAGCCACTATTTGGTAGCTGAGGAGAAACTGTGACTTAGACAGTGTCAAGGTCAAACAGCTGTTAAGTACTCAAGATTAGAATTGAACACATTTTTTACCTGACCCTAAAGCCTGTAATAGATTTTGCAAGATACAACACAGTATGGTAGTTAAAGAGTTTAAGCTTAAAATCAGACATTGCCTGATGAATACTTTATAACTATTGGGAAATTACTTATACTTTTCCTCCTCTTTAGAGTGGGGAGGATAATAAAATGAAATTACTCATAGTGCATACACTAGACTCACTGGATAAATGCTAGCTGCTATTGCAAATACTTGAGAACTTCAGTGATCTTTAATGAGCACTCATTCATTTTTTTTATTGGTTGCTCAAGACATTACAATGGTCTTGACATATCATATTTCATACAATTGATTCAAGTGGGGTATGAATTCTCATTTTTACCATGTGTACAGATTGCAGGATCACATTGGTTACACATCCACGTTTATACATACTGCCATACTAGTGTCTGTTGTATTCCGCTGCCCTTCCTATCCCCTTCCTATCCCCACTCCCCTCCCCTCCCCACCCTTATCTCTCTCTACCCCATCTACTGTAATTCATTTCTCTCTTTTTGTTTTTTTTCCTTTCCCCTCACATCCTCTTCTATGTAATTTTGTATAACAGTGAGGGTCTCCTTCCATCTTCCATGCAATTCCCCTTCTCTCTCCCATTCCCTCCCACCTTCCGTACCTGCTTAATGGTGATCTTCTTCTCATGCTCTTCCTCCCTGCTCTGTTTTGAGTCGCCCTCCTTATACCAAAGAAGACATTCGGCATTTGTATTTTAGGGATTGGCTAACTTCACTTAGCATAATTTGCTCTAATGCCATCCATTTCCCTGCAAATGCCATGATTTTGTTATTTTTTAATGCTGGCACTCATTCATTTTTGCATAGCTAACCACTCTTGGACATCTTTGATTGCAAAGTTATAGGTCCACAAACTCAGCAGATCAAAACTGAACACTCCAGCTCTCTTCTCTCCCAGTTTTCCTCCCTTTCGTCTCTATTGCAATATGGCTTATCTCCATGACAGTATTGCTGTCAGCTGTATTATGTTACATTGGAAAATGGGTAGCAATTCTCCATCCTCCATCTCAAAAGTTCATCCATTCTTAACTTTTAGTCTCTCCCAAAGCTGTTCTCTTTGCTCCAGCTCCCATATGTTGGATCTTTAGCTCTTGACTGTTAGCTCTTGACTGCCTTGTTCTGCTTTAATTTACTTCTAGAGTTGTCTTTCTAAAACACATATGTGATCACATCCCTACTCCTACTCATCTCGGGCCCTTTTTGCCCTCAGGAGAGAGGGTCCTGTGTGTAGTCAAGCACACAGATGTAATGCTTCCTTATTTCCTCAGTCTTATTTCTGGCTTCTGTCAGTTTCCTGGGCCTCCTAGGTTCTCTGAGGTTTCCAAGCATTTGCAAGTGTTATACACCTTTTCCCAGACGGGCCTCTTTCCCACCAGGATAGCCTGTCATTCTTGAAGAGTCAGCTTAGGTTTCATTCCCTCGCAGTACCCCTCTCAGGTTGATTTCTTTCTCTCTACACCACCGGCAGACAGTCAGCCACGCCTGGTGAGCCCGGCTGGGTGAGGGCCCTCTCCAGCATGCTGTCCTAACTCTTTGGCATCTTCCTCTACCCTAGCACTTACCCTCAGAACTGAAATCTTATCCGTTTGTTTGCTTGTCTCTCCACTAGATTATACACTACTTAAGGGTACTAGTGGGTCTTGCTCAGCTCATATCCTTCCTTCTTAGCACAGTTCTTGCTGATGTTTAATAAATCTTTCCTTTGAAAACTTTTATATATTTTTGGTGAGGTATACTAATGAATGGCCCGACAAATTTTAAATACCAATATGTTATACTTACTCATGAATTCATATTGGATTCACTTTCAAAACAGTGCCTGTGAGATCTAACATTAGTTTAACTGCACATGAAGAGAATAAAGTTTAATTCTTATTTTTTTTTTTAAATTTTGCATATGTCTGGCTCTTACTTTGTGATTCAGCATGCAGAATTTAGAGAGTTTTAGGTGATAAGCAAGTGAAAATAATATTTAACTTTCCTAATTTGCCTAAAGTTTTTATTTGCTAAAATTTATTAGAGTTTCTTAGAAGTAGCTTAAGTTATAACCAATTATACTTTAGTATAGTTTCAAATTTTACAAGTACTATTATTTTGAATAGAAATGGCTATGAATCTAGGTTATGCATAGAATGTCTCTCTTGATACTGAGAAATATGTATATATTCCCTGTGTTCAAATAAAGAATGAAGAATATGTATTATTTTTATAGTGTCTCTAATATCTATGTATTGAAATGTTTTAAAATGCTCTTTGGGTGGAGCTGAATATTACCACAGATATTTTTTCTCATCTAATATGTTCATATCAATGTGAGACAGATTCTGGCTAAGTTCATGATCAAGCTAGAAGGTTTGAAAAGAAATATGGCTTGTTAATTTAAGTAATACATATTATAAAATAAAATATTAGTGAATACTAAGTAAAATGAAATCAAATGAATAAGTTATAGCTCACAGCAGAATTGCCCTCTCTGAATATTACAGTAAAGGCTTGAAAATTCCTGTGT